CTGGTAACTTATATTGTCGAATCGACTGACATCCACTTACTTTTGATGTACATAGAGGGTAGTGACTTATATTGACATAGAGACTTATTTCCAGTTACTTTTGATGTACTTTGACGGTAGTAACCTAGTATATTGACATAGAGACTGACATCCACTTACTTTTGATGTACATGGTGGGTACTAACTTATATTGACATAGAGACTGACATCCACTTACTTTTGATGTAAAATGAGCGTAGTAACCTATATTGACATTGAGACTGACATCCAGTTACTTTTGATGTACATGGATGGTAGTAATCTATATTGACATAGAAACTGACATCCACTTACGTTTGATGTACATAGAGGGTAGTAACTTATATTGACATAGAGACTGACATCCACTTACTTTTGATGTACATAGAGGGTAGTAACCTATATTGACTTAGAAACTGACATCAACTTTTGATGTACATAGAGGGTAGTAATTTATATTGACAAAGAGACTTATTTCCATTTACTTTTGATGTACTTGGACGGTAGTAACCTATATTGACATAGAGACTGACATCCACTTACTTTTGATGTACATAAAGGGTAGTAACCTATATTGACATGGAGACTGACATTCACTTAATTTTGATGTAGATAGAGTGTAGTAACTTATATTGACACAGAAACTGACATCCACTTTCTTTTGATTTAAATAGAGGGTAGTAACTTAGTATATTGACATAGAGACTGACATCGACTTACTTTTGATGTAAATAGAGGGTAGTAACTTATATTGACATAGAGACTGACATCCACTTACTTTTGATTTAAATAGAGGGTAGTATCTTATATTGTCAAATCGACTGACATCCACTTACTTTTGATGTACATATAGGGTAGTAACCTATATTGATTTAGAGACTGACATCCACTTACTTTTGATTTACATAGAAGGTAGTTACCTATATTGACAGAGATACTGACATCCACTTATTTTTGATGTACATAGAGGGTAGTTACCTATATTAACATAGAGACTGACATCCACTTACTTTTGATGTACATGGATGGTAGTATTTTATATTGACATAGAGACTGACCTCCACTTACTTTTGATGTACATAGAGGGTAGTAATTATTGACATAGAGACTGACATCCACTTACTTTTGATGAACATAGAGGGAAGTAACCTATATTGACACAAAGACAGGCATGCACTGACTTTTGGTCTACATGAAAGATATCTGTGGAATTTGTTTCCCTTGGCTCTATTGCTGGTTATCCCACTGATTGCCATGTTATTTCATTGTATGACTGACCAGAAGTTAATTGCAGACACTAGCTATCTGTGCCTTCTTTGAAATCATCAGGGGTTTACAAATGATAGATCCAGTATGTGATAATTATTTTAATACTTTTGGTACTTTCACCAGTAAATCGTCATCTTATCAACATAAATTATGTTTTACGAAACCAATTAAAGCCTATTCCACTTTCTTTTTACATTTTAATGAAAATGAGAAAAATATTAAAAAATCATCTCCTTTTGTTTGTTTTCCAGAGAGCACAAAACTGGGCATCAGCTGGGCAAAAGGAACCCCTAGATGCCCCATTAGATTTCAAGATGGACTTTTGCCCCACAGTATCAGCAGGCAAGTGCAGTTCAGTGAACATAAACTAGCTTAACAATCCCACAGTACATGAGGAGCTAAATTATACAAGTAGTGCATCAGCACATCAGGAATGGCAGAGGAGAGGTTTTTAGCTCACCTGCCCCAAGTTAACAATAAATATTATTTGTGAGATTAATACTAGGTGAGCGATTCAGGCCCATTGGGCCTCTTGTTTTGTTAAAACATTTACACACAGCAATTGGTTAACCATATACACACAATAGATGTGGAGGTAACAATATACACACAGAACATGTAGAGGTAACAATATACATCCAGTATATATGGAGGTAACAATATACCCACAGTATATGTGGAGATAATAATATACACACAGTATATGTGGAGATAACAATATACACACAGTATATATGGAGGTAACAATATACCCACAGTATATATGGAGGTAACAATATACCCACAGTATATATGGAGGTAACAATATACCCACAGTATATGTGGAGGTAACAATATACACACAGTATATGTGGAGGTAACAATATACATCCAGTACATGTGGAGGTAACAATATACATCCAGTTTATGTGGAGGTTACAATATACGTCCAGTATATGTGGAGGTTACAATATACGTCCAGTATATGTGGAGGTTACAATATACGTCCAGTTTATGTGGAGGTTACAATATACGTCCAGTATATGTGGAGGTTACAATATACGTCCAGTATATGTGGAGGTTACAATATACGTCCAGTTTATGTGGAGGTTACAATATACGTCCAGTATATGTGGAGGTTACAATATACGTCCAGTATATGTGGAGGTTACAATATACGTCCAGTTTATGTGGAGGTTACAATATACGTCCAGTATATGTGGAGGTTACAATATACGTCCAAGTTCAAATGAATGACCTTGACATATATATTTTAAGGTCACAGGGGTCAAATATGTTTAAAACCATTGAATGACTTCTTCTTAATAAGCAAAAGGCCAAGGGTGATGATATTTGGCCAGTACCATGCTGAAATGAAGGGCTACCAATTTTGTTCAAATAAATGACCTTGATTTATATTTAAGGTCACAGGGGTCAAATATGTTGAAAACCTTTAAACGGCTTCTTCTGAATAACCAAGAGACCTAGGGTGATGATATATGGCCAGTTACATGCTGAAATGAAGGGCTACAAAGTTTGTTCAAATAAATGACCTTTGTTTATATTCAAGGTCACTGGGGTCAAATATATTTAAAACCTTTAAACAACTTCTTCAAAATAACAGAGAGGCCTAGGGTGATGATATTTGGTCAGTAACATTCTTGGATGAAGGGCTACCAAGTTTGTTCAAATAAATGACCTTGATTTATATTCAAGGTCACTGGGGTCAAATATGTTTAAAACCTTTAAACGACTTCTGAATAACCAAGAGGCCTAGGGTGTTGATGTTTGGCCAGTAGCATGTTGGGATGAAGGGCTACCAAGTTTGTTCAAATGAATGACCTTTGCCCATTTTCAAGGTCAAAGGGGTCAATTGTCTTAAAAATCTTTATACAGCTTCTTCTGAATAACTAAGAGGCCTAGGCTAATGATATTTGGCCAGTAACATGCTAGAATGAAGGGCTACCAAGTTTGTTCAAATGAATGACCTTTACTTATATTCAAGGTCACAGGGGTCAAATATGTTAAAAACCTTTAAACAACTTCTTCTCAATAACCAAAAGGCCTAGGATGATGCTATTTGGCCAGTAGCATGCTGTGATGAAAGGCTACCAAGTTTGTTCAAATCAATGACCTTCGTCCATTTTCAAGGTCACAGGGGTCAATTGTCTTAAAAAATCTTTATACAACTTCTTCTGAATAACTAAGAGGCCTAGGCTAATGATATTTGGCCAGTAACATGCTAGAATGAAGGGCTACCAAGTTTGTTCAAATGAATGACCTTTACTTATATTCAAGGTCACAGGGGTCAAATATGTTAAAAACCTTTAAACAACTTCTTCTCAATAACCAAAAGGCCTAGGATCATGCTATTTGGCCAGTAGCATGCTGTGATGAAAGGCTACCAAGTTTGTTCAAATCAATGACCTTCGTCCATTTTCAAGGTCACAGGGGTCAATTGTCTTAAAAAATCTTTATACAACTTCTTCTGAATAACTAAGAGGCCTAGACTAATGATATTTGGCCAGTAACATGCTAGAATGAAGGGCTACCACGTTTGTTCAAATGAATGACCTTTACTTACATGAATTGTATATTCAAAGTCACAGGGGTCAAATATGTTAAACATCTTTAAACAACTTCTCAATAACTAAGAGGCATAGGGTTACGATATTTGGCCAGTAGCATGCTGAGATTAAGGGCTACCAAGTTTGTTCAAATCAATGACCTTCGTCCATTTTCATGGTCACAGGGGTCAATATATGTTTAAATCTTTTAATAGGCTCTTATGAATCAAACACTGATATTCTTCATTTAGCTGCATTTTAGTCCCCTTTTAAGATAACAAGTGTGAGATTAGTACCAGGTGAGCGATTCAGGCCCATTGGACCTCTTGTTTCTGAATTACTTTAAACTTTAGGTCAAAACGCTGATATTTTGCTTGTGGCTTTATTTTAGTCCTCTTTTAAGATTACAATTGTGAGATTAATACCAGGTGAGCGATGCAGGCCCATTGGGCCTCTTGTTTAGCTCACCTGGTCCGAAAGACCAAGGTGAGCTTATGCCATATCGTTGCGTCCGTCGTACGTCCGTACGTCAAAAATTTCTTTTAAACAACTTCTTCTTCTTCACCACTGATTGGAATTCAACTAAATTTGACTGGGAGCATCCCTAGGTGGTGGGGATTCAAAATTGTACAAATGGTGGGGCTGACCCCCCAGGGGGCTGAGGGGCGGGGCAAAAAGGGGTCAATTTGGCTATACTGCTTTAAGTGACTTCTTCTCTGGAACTAAGAGATGGATATCAACCATATTTAAATGGAAGCATCCCTAGGTGGTGGAAATTCAAAATTGTACAAATGGTTGGGCTGACCCCCCAGGGGGCTGAGGGGCGGGGCCAAAAAGGGGGCAATTTGGCTATATTGCTACAAACGACTTCTGTAGAACTATGCACTAGATATCAATCATATTTGATCAAAAGCATTCTTGGGAGGCAGGGATTCAAAATTGTACAAATGGTTGGGCTGACCCCCCCAGAGGGCTGAGGGCGGGGCCAAAAAAGGTGTATTACTTGGAAATAGTTGTGATCCCCACCATATAACCATGCTTCCAGGATGGCCCTAGGGTCTGTCCCCACCCTTGGAGACATAGTCCCTGGGCCATAACTTTAAAACTGTTGAGATCCCCACCCCAAAACTATATATACAAATGCTGGGCATAAAGAGACAAATGCATCATGATATCAAAATAGACCCCGGGGTCTGACCGAACCACTAGGGACCTAGTTTCTTAGTCAAAGCTTGGAAACAGTTGAGAGGCCCACCCTATAACCGTATATACGATTGCTGAGTATAAAGAGATGATTGCACATATGCTTCCAGGATGGCCTTTGGGACTGCCCCAGCCTTGGAGACTTAACCCCTGGGTCATAACTTTGAAATGGTTAAGATCCCCACCCCAAAACTATATATACAATTTTTGGGCATAAAGAGATGAATGCAGTCACGATATTAGAATTGATCCTGGGGTCTGGCCACAACCCTAGGGACCTAGTTTCTGAGTCAAAGCTTGGAAACAGTTGAGATCCCCACCCAAAAACCATACATGAGATTGCTGGGCATGAAAAGTCTAATACAGATATGCTACAAGGATTGGCCTTGGGGTCTGGCATATTCCCTTGATCTCATTTGGAGAATATTTTGCCCTCATTGCATAGGTATCCAGGTGAGCGATACAGGCCCTCTGGGCCTCTTGTTGTCTTTTTAACTAAAACGGTATCTTAATATTTGTTTTAATTAAAAAAAACACCTGTAGAAGTATAATTTGTGCATTTGTATTGGTTTTCTCTGCGTTGCCTCAGGGATGTGAAGTGTCCACTACACATCCTGGTTGCCTTAACAGTGTTTAACTGATCTGAGCCCCTCACAAAGGTGTGAAATTGGTCATGCATATCCAGGTTCTCGTCTTGGACAATGGTTTTAGCTGACTATAATTAGTGGCACTATGATCAGGTGTACTAACAGTAGAGACGTATTTATCCTGAGGATCTGAGGATGGGGGGAGCACCGACTATCATGCTGCTATATAACTATGAAAGATTTTTTATCTTCTAGCTGAGCCACCAAAGGTGGTGCATTGGTTTTGCATGCTTCCTTATTAATCTGCCACTGTGGACACACTTTATGCTTAGACGAGTAAGTTAAAGTCCCTTCCATGATATACTTATTGATGTAAAGGTCTGTAAAAGCTTATTTAATTATAATTTATTTCTATTTTTTTACAGGAACTGATCGCCATGACTACACCAGCTACAGTAGTATGAATTCAATATTCAAATTTATTGAGGAACGATTTTCTGAGTCCAAGAAAGACTCAGACAGTGTAAATAATGAATCAGAATCAAGTGATGTCAACCCTGTTCCAAAAGCAGAAAAAGAAAAAGCGAATAAAGCTGAGAAAAAATCAACAGACAGTGCTGATGCTATGGACAGTCTGTCAGGGGGGACAATTGTGCAAGAAGACACTAGTGGCACACAGGAAATGTCCAGTCAATCAATGCATGATACAGAGCCAATGTCACAGGACACAAACAGCCAGGGGGGCACATATGATGTGAAGATGAACTCACAAGGACCTAGTTCTCCAAAGGCAGAACTGTGACTTTCATGATAACAATATAGTTTTGTACGCTTCATTTGAAACTTTTGTGGTGTGAATATTTCTAATAGTTTTGTATAAATGGTCACTGGATACACTAAAAATCCATCTGTATTTGACCCTGTTAACTTCATCATGAATAAAGATTGTATTTGTAGTATATGATATTATTAGTGTAGGAGACTAAAATCATTCATGTCAAACTCCGAGACTGCCGAACAGCAAGATCTGATTCTGATCTGACTTGGCAAGTAGGTATCTAGGACAGAGTGCTATAAAGTTTCCCAAATAAATGAACTTTACATACTTTCAAGACCACAATGGTCAAATGTGTTAAAACTCCTTCAACAACTTTCTCTGAATAACCAAGAGACAAAGAGTAATGGTATTTGGAGAGTAGGTACCTGGCATTGAGTGCTATAATGTTTCCTCCAATGAATGACCTTGACCTAGTTTCAAGCCCACGGTCGACACATGTATAAAAATATTTTCAACAACTTTTCAAATGGATGACCTTGACCTACGTTGAAAGTCACTGGGGTCAAATGTGTAAACTTTGAATGACTTCTTCTAAATAACTAAGACATATATGGTGATGATATTTTGCCAATCACATTTTGCGTGCTGTGATGTGGTGCTATATACTTTTCTCAAAAAATGACCTTAACCTACTTTTAGGGTCACATGCATCAAATATGAAGAGTGTCTGTTGTTATAAAATATTTGGACGTGTTCTCCACTGTCCGTTTGTGCTAGATTTCACGTAGCTAGAATGCATCGGATTTATTCATTATGACTGATAAATATTCAATACAAATCAAGGTGAAATTATGTACAATTAAACGGTACTTCTGACCGCTGATCAATATAGTCTAATACTTGGTAGCGTGAATTGATATACAGCAAGTTAAAAATGATCACCCAAAATATTAAAGTTGAATGAAAGTCAAGGCCGATGCATATTTCTTGTTCACATGTTTATTTCCACAATATGTGAAACATAATCAAAACCCTACAAAGACACAATACAATTGATAACATAATGAAACACAGCGCTTACATATAATTCCTAACAGTTACATTCGGTGCATACATATTTGATACGTTCACAAACAATAGGTTATTCAAAAATAGGAATAATACTTTAACTTTACAATGACTGACTTCATCATAATCAATAGTTGAAATGACTTTTACATAATTATATTGAATACAATTATCCTTATCAATTAGCACTTGTTTACATTATCATATACAATATTAAAATACCTACCCCAACTATGGGTCAGGGTTTTACACGGAATGAAGATATGAATCTGTATCCATTCTCTATCGAAAACTCTATTATCTCTGTAAAAGAGACAGGTAAATCACAGTTTACATCATGTTGATAAAAACATATACATTACTTTAAAAAGAGCTATCTATGTATTGATTTCACTATATAATTAATGCTACTTTATCCAAAATCTCATTAATATAATAATTTAACATAAACCAATTACAGAAGAAGACTTTGTCACATCTAAATGTGTACTTACAAGATCTGGAGAAAGACTTCAAACTTCTGGTATAAATTACATCCACCCTTTATCTCTGTCTATGAATGAATACTAAAAACCGTGCCCAAAACATGTAACAAAGACACCTGGACTGACCACTAACGAAAACGAGGTAACACCTATATTTGGAACAATTACCTTATATGGACATAACAAGGTAAGACAAGTGACATGTGACAACATACTCACGTGTACAAAAACAACACAGGTAGACGGCACAGTGATTGTACATAGCACATGTATACGCGAACAGCACGATATACGCAGCGCAACAATTAATTTAATTTAAAAACATTTTATCACAGCCTTTAATAAAACATCAAAATTTTCACATTGTTACCAAATCTACATTACAGAGAGTCTGAGTATTACATAGAATCTTACTAGCTGAACATCATATAGAATAGAAACAACAACTTATCGTTAACAGCCAAATGTGCATAGCTTAAGGACATTCAAATATGGCTGACACACCAAATTGTATATCAAATTCAATAAAGCATTCCGTTAGTATTAAACAATCCCTGTCACAAAATAATCCTCCTCCAATATTTTTCAAATATAATTGAGGTACATGCACACTAAATTTCAGAAAAAAAACATTCAATAACTGATGAAAAACTCACTTTTTATGTGTTTATTTTCCAAGCTAAATAAAAGTCACAATTCAGGGGAAAAAACCATTTAAACTTGTAAATTTCATAAGTTTGGATGTCCATGGAGATGCATTTGTCGAGAAAAATGTATGAAAATGCTTTAAGTCTCGAGAATGATGACATGTATTTTGATTGGATATTTTACAATAATTCATTTAGCTAACAAGACTTTTGATACAAGTCAAGCCATATTACCTAAGCGAGAACCTGTAGTGAATGGTGTACAGGTAAAATCCCCCCAATAATATGCTTTGAATATTAAGCATATATTTATTATAGAGGGTTATTTTTTATATCACTATTATTAGCTCACCTGCCCGAAGGGCAAGTGAGCTTATGCCATGGTGCGGCGTCCGTCTGTCCGGCGTCAACATTTTACTTTAAACAACTTCATTTCAGTAACCAAAAGGCCTAGAATGATATTTGGCCAGTAGCATGCTGGGATGAAGGGCTACCAAATTTGTTTCAACAAATGACCTTCACCCATTTTCAAGGTCACAGGGGTCAAATATGTTTAAAACCTTTAAACGACTTCTTCTGAATTACCAAGAGGCCTAGGGTTATGATATTTTGCCAGTTAGATGCTGGGATGAAGGGCTACCAAGTTTTTATAAACAAATGACCTTCACCTATTTTCAAGGTCACAGGGGTCAAATATGTTTAAAACCTTTAAAACTACTTTTCAATAACCAAGAGGCTGAGGGTTATAATATTTGGCCTGTAACATGCTGGGATGAAGCGCTACCAATTTTGTTAAAATGAATGACCTTGACAATTATTCAAGGTCACAATGGTCAAATATGTTTAAAACCTTTAAACAACATCTTTTCAATAACCAAAAGTCCTAGGATTATGCTGTTTGGCCAGTAGCATGCTAGGATGAAGGACTACCAAGTTTATTCAAACGAATGACCTCGACATATATTAAAGGTCACAGGGGTCAAATATGTTTAAAACCTTTATAAACGACCTCTTCTCAATAAGCAAAAGACTAAGGGTGATGATATTCGGCCATTAACATGCTGGGATTAAGGACTTTCAGGTTTTTTCAAATGAATGACCATCGCCCATATGCAAGGTCACAGTGGTCAATACATGTTTAAATCCTTAAATGACTTGTTCTGTATAACCTTAGGTCCAGGGTAATGATATTTTGCCAGAAGCATGCTTTGATGGATGACTATAAACTCTGTTCAACCTTATGTCCTTGTTCAACATTCAAGGTCACAGGTGTCATATGTTTAAATCTTTTAATAGGTTCTTATGAGTCAAACACTGATATTCTGCCTGTAGCTGTATTTTAGTCCACTTTTAAGATTTTTTGTGAGATTAATACCAGGTGAGCGATTCAGGCCCATTGGGCCTCTTGTTATCAATTATTTACAGAATTTCAGACTCACTTGACCACATCATGATTATAAAAACCATCATAGTCATTACATTACCAGGGGCCTGAGGGGAGGGGCCTAAAAGAGTATTGACTAAAATTTCATAAATCTTCTTCTCAAGATCCAGATATGGTAGAATCAAATACTCTTCATAGATGGAAGGGTCTTAAGGTGCTTTACCTAACTTAAACTGACTGACAGAACCACTATTTGTACACAGTACATATACTAACCCAGATCTTTCACACTACTTTTGAATAGCATGTATGTAGTTCAAGTTACCTTTGTTACAAAATGATTTCTTTTTCCTTTAGCAACATCAATAATATTAGTTTTTACATAACTCAGGTGACCGTTAAGGCCCATGGGTCTCTTGTATCTAAATCAGATGTTGGCTATAGAGTGTGACAATGGATTTCCTCGCTTATTGTTTTGAAAATGCAACACATTTATTTTCAAACATATTTAGGTTTCAGTGATAGACTTTCCTTATTAATTACAATTATCCTAGGTGTTTGGAATTCAGTTTTATTCATCAAATCAGTCCAAATATGTCACACTGTATGACAAAAAAAAATATCATAACTTGGGGAGGACAAAATAATACAAAAATGAACAAAGAGGATTCGAAAACAAGTACATAAGTACTTATATCAATTTGTCTCCTTATTAATAAACATGGCAGTAGGACGACACTGTTACATATATTTTGATAGCATAACAGACAAAGAGAAAAAGAAGAAATCAGGGAGGGGAGGGCGGAAGGGACGCATCAGGAAATGAAAGATAGTTGTTACGAAGAGAATAACAAGAACTGCATTACTTGATTGAATCTGGTTGAAATGTGATTCATGAAAAGGTAACCCTAATGAGCTCTATATAAGGATGCATTTAATACATTGGAAATCTCTAAATTGCCTTACGTTGATTCCAATCAAAAAGTATACTGATATCCTGTAAAATGCAAGAGTGTTGTAGTCTATATTAATTTCAGTATCAACTAGACTCATTAAGTCTAAGGTAGCAGTGTACAGTAGCGTACAGTGGCCATGGGTGATATTTTTGTACAATGAATAACCCCTGTAATATTACATGTATCAAAAGTAAAAAAAAAAAATCAGCTCTAAAATCGGCATATACATGATGAATTGCGGTCAGACGATTTACAGGAACGGGCAGAAACGGACAGGAACGGTCAGAAATATATCAATTATTATATATCTTAATAATAAATATTAGATATATTCAATTATCATTATGTTCTAATTCACCAGTTCAAACGAACATAAATCATTTATCAATTACAACTCAACACTGTAATATAGGAAATAGCTGACTGCAGCTAGCGCTTTTATTGGGGTAACTACAAAAACACGGCAACAACACGCGAGTGTGCACGGCTGTTCCTGAGCGAGTGTTGCTGAGCGACTGTTCCTCTAGCTCCAAGTCCCAATCCCAAGGATCTGTCCCAGCAGCTCTGTAATATGGCAAAGCCTATAAACCTGAAAGCATACACCAAATGGCAAGTAACATCAAAGCCAATTAACTCTCTATTGCTCGCTACCAAGTTGACCGGGGGGGGGGGGGGGGGGGGGTTAAATACCACAAGCGCACTGTCTGGCTGCAACAGCTCGAATGACACTACCCCCTATACACCCTGTATATGACAACCCCCTACCCCAGGTAATTCACCGTGTACGTTAGACTCCGCGCCTTACCCCTACATACACAGGTACTCTAGCACCTACGTAACCCCAGTGATACCGTACCATTGATAAATATAATTATGTTCTAATTCACCAGTTCAAACGAACATAAATCATTTATCAATTACAACTCAACACTATAATATAGGAAATAGCTGACTGCAGCTAGCGCTTCGAGTACAAAGAACGGGTTAAAAGTCTGACAAACATTAAAATTACATTCTCACCCAGCTTTTGTGTAACGGAAAGTTTTTCGTCCAAGCCCTCATGCACATAACCGTCCTTGGACTTCAACGACCGTGCTTCTTGAATATACGATCAGCAACTCCTGAGTTTGCTGCCGCGGTAGCTCCACCAGCCCTCAGACTATGGAGGCCAAATTTCCTACTATCTCAACCTAATAATGAAAGCTTTTCTAAAAGAAGTTCTCTAGCTCTAGTGTAAGAAAGGGGACCAGAATTACGAAGCTGGAACGAATTAGAACTTTTACAAAATGACATTTGCCTAAAAATAAAAGCTGTGGAGTCCGAGGGAATCTTAGCACAAGTCAAATAGCGTTTGAGCATGGCAACCGGACATAATATCGTAGAAGTCTTAGCAATAACTACTTCTGCTCCTGCGCTAACTACATCCGTCTTACTTCTGGGAATTCTGATAGTCATGAACTGATCAGCGAAAACGATGTCCGATCTCTTAATATTGACCAATTCCGCAAATCTAAGGAAACCGGCAAAACCTACTAAACACATACACACTATTCTTAGATCCATCAGGGAACACGAGTCTTTAGCAAAAAATGTCACTAACTGTTTTAAAATATCAGGAGTGATAGGCTCTTTTTTACAGGGTTGACATCCCAACAGCCGGGACCCCCCTGCCCTGATCATTTTTATAAAATCCGATGAACAAGGATTCGGGAAACCTGCCAGTTGGTGAACCCAACCGATGGAATAGATAGCCTGGTCTAACTTAGCAACACTACTGCTAGATTGAATTATAGATACTAAATATAAGGCAACATATTGTTCCGACGCTGGCAGGACATTAACTTTGAAGGAATTAGCCCAAGAACACCATTGTTTGAACCCGTGATCATAACATTTCCGGGTATTAACAGCCTTAGATGCCGTAACTATCCTCTTTAAATCACTGACGAGAGGCAAAAATCTGTTGTTTGTGGTTCCCATGTTGACCCATCGCCCATGATTAAAGACATCTGAAAGTTGTATACAAGAATACACAATAAGATATAAACGCGAGAAGCAACTACTATAACGTATTATTATTCATTTATTTATTTACAGTTAACGACGGAATCGTTAACATCAGTACCGTAATGCTGCCTGAACGGGTGACCACCACACCCTACCACATGCCGACCTATCATGTCGCGCACGTGAAGTGCCCCAACGGGATGACCTCGCACGCGTACTAACAGTACCGGCCTTGTCATATATAAGGAAGCGTCACCGTGTGTGACCTTCATACACATAAATTAAACAACACAACATGTAATGTACGGCCCCTGTACATGTCCATCCATGGAAAAACGTGACGTAAACTCATCCGCTGAGCTAAGGATACAACCGTGCACTGGCCGTAGTATCTCGTACTACGAGAACTACTCACGCGTATCTACAGACAACACGTGACCTAGACAGGAATGCATGAAACGTGACCTCAATAGTAAACAGCAGCCACGTGCTCCGTGGCCATGCCCTCTCTCCGGGACAATACGTGCCCAATATAAGAACAATACATTTAAATCAGTACAAAACTTTTAATAGATTTTGTAAAACAAAGTAAACAGTAAACTAGGCTTGCAACCTCACTGCTAAAACAGTACCGACGAATTTATCAGGGTTGAAATAGGAGTTCTTATCGGTACATTTCCCAAAAATGCGATCAGTCTCATGAAACTCCAACACCTCCTTCACATAGTCTCTGTATACATACTCACGCTTGAAAATAAAGGTCCAAAAGGGTGCTGATTGCCACTTAGGAACTATAAGGGTACCACAAGACCTAGACACCAGAACGTGTCTGATTGTCTGAATAACCAAGTTTATAGGAGGCACCAACCAGTTATTCTCGCCTCCCCAATGCTTGGCGAACGCATCTACACATTCCGTGCCAGGGTTCCAGAACTTGGAATTGAAGCGTTCCAGTTTAGCGTTATCCACACTGGCAAACCTGTCAACAGTATGCCTACCCCATAGCCAGTCAATAAACTCAAAGAATTCCACAGTTACAAACCAGTCGTCGAAATCGAATATTTTACTGATCTCATCAGCGCGCACATTACTGTCTCTGGGTACCCACTCGATGTCTATCATAATATTATTAATAGAACATCTTTCAAAAATGTCGATCGCGATCTCGTGCAAATCAGGCTTCATACTACCTTTGGTGACTATAGAAACACAATTCTTACTGTCCGTAAACCACTTAACTTGCTTTCCCTTTAACACTGACTGAAACGACTGTAATGCTAATGAAATAGCTTTCATTTCCCTCCAAGTAGAACTACGTGGAATCTCAGTATCTGTCCACATTTTGTGAAATATGCTGCTATCGAGATCTACAGAGTATGCACCACAAGCATAAGCACTAGCATCAGAAAACATGATAATTTTAGGGACATCGTATGTAGCCAAATACCTAACATTCAAAGTACACACGTGATCACGCCAATACACCAACTCGTTAATGAATGGATTACTGTTGACCTTGACCTTACCGTCCCAGGATGATGACCTCGCTATGAACACCATTGATTGTCTTGTCATCAGACAACAGAGATTACCTATCACGGGCTTAAATGACATTACTAACCCTGTAACCTTTGCTAACTGTCTAGATGAAATAATTGGTAAGGTGTCTAAAAGAGCATCGATACTAGTAACAAGTTTACTTACTCTAGTGTCGGGGACCGAGATACTAAAACTCAACGAATTCCAATTAAGACCCAACCACAAAATATTTTGACATGGGACCCACACAGATTTTTCTGTATTGACAAGAAAACCCGCGCGATAGAGTGTGTCCCTAACAAAATCACTATTCTTCTGACATGTTACTTCCTCAGAACTACAACCTAGACCGTCATCTATGTATAGAACTATGTTAATACCATTCCACCTCCAGTGTTTAACAAGGGCCCTAAGGATCTTCGTGAAAATGTACGGAGCTGACGATAATCCGAAAGGCAATACACTAAAACAATAAAACTTACCATCCCAGGAAAACCCGAGAAAGGATTGTTGACCACAAGAAATATCTATATGGTGATACCCGGATTTAAGGTCAAATTTAAACATATAGGAATCACGATCAAAAAATTCTAATGCAACGTTCCAATCCTCCAATTTTATCTTCTCTTTCCAAACAAAAAGATTGACCCTTCTGAGATCCAAAATCAACCTTTTCTTGCCAGAACTGCTGTAAGCAACGCTTAAAGGATTGACTACGTGAGGAAGAAATGGGACTTGTACAACACACTTATTATTAACCAGATCTGCAATAGCTTGCGTGACAAACTCAGCCTCTCTTCCTGCAGACATGTTATTTTTAGAAAAGGTTTTTGGAGGGGTCGAAATGAAAGGTATTACATAACCGTACTTAAGCATTTCTACGATAAATTCTGAAGCACCGATATCTCTCCAAAACTGAACGTGACTTTTTAATCTACCTTTAACAGACGTAACCGGACGATTGTCCTGATATTCAAAAAACTGTTTATGAGAGCTCAGTTCGTCTAAATCAAACAACGAGGGAGAAGTATATGTATACTTATCATGAATCTCGTCACTTCGGTCCGTTTGTCTGCTGCTGTGGCTGTCGAGATCCTCCCTGTCTGAATTTCCCACAGTCCCTCCTCCAATGACCGAATCCCCCACATGAGAAACACTGGTCCGAAGGGGCGGTGCTGCGCGGGGCAGTGACTCCGTAGTTATAGGGTCCTCCACGAAAAGGCGCAGACCCCGCGGCTGCGGGGGGAGAGGCGTAACGTGTAGCTGTATTACCACTGTTGTTAAAAACAGCCGAAGAACTACGTTTACTAGAACCATGTTTAAGTTTTATACTCCTCAATGCCCTCTGTTCCGCCTGTCTAATACGTTTCTTGTCCTCACTGTCAGAAGCGAGATCGTCGGACACGTATTCCTTCACAGTTTGCCAGCCAGCGGGCGACTTGTCAGCAAGTCGTATCAACTTGTTTCTCTTATACAATGTAACTCTCAGGTTCGCGGCCAACTCAACGCAGCTGTCAAAGTCACGTTTATCAAGTCTTTTCTGTAACTTGACCACATCCGCCTCCAATTCCTCGTTAAATTGGAATTGAATCCTATTCCCTTGGGACTTAAACTTCACAGATTTGTCCGACTTAGGTTTTTTAGGTTCTGTCTCTCCTTCTCCCAAATCCGCTCTAAAGGAATCTAGTTTATTGTCCAAATATTGCCTGAACAATGAAAAGGCCTCAAAAGCCTCCACGCCTCCCGTGTTCTGACCCACTGTAGGGGGAGAAGGGGCCCCAGTACTACAACTGTTCAGAGGGGGGGTCGTTTCTTCGCTCATAATCGGTAAAGACCAAATTAGCAAGCTAACCAGGAAACGTAGGTAAATACCACAAGCGCACTGTCTGGCTGCAACAGCTCGAATGACACTACCCCCTATACACCCTGTATATGACAACCTCCTACCCAGGTAATTCACGTGCAACACGTAATTCACCGTGTACGTTAGACTCCACGCCTTACCCCTACATACACAGGTACTCTAGCACCTACGTAACCCCAGTGATACCGTACCATTGATAAATATAATTATCGGGTATAAGATATATTTTGTAAAAGGATTGCAATAACATGATCGGTGCAGAATCGGAATAAATTATACCTATATATACATTTGTGTCGTTATAAATATAATTATGAGACCTGTATTTATGTTATAATATTTTTTTTATCAGGTATAAAAATGAATTTGATGAAAGAATTGAAACGAATTAAGGTGGCTCGACACATCGTCATCAGCGTCCATTTTCGTGACATACTTCCGGAAAAAGTACAGCTAGGACTCAATCATCTTAATCGAAATGTGCATGTACACCGTGTCGTCATTTCCGTATTGCGTATCGGGCATTCAATATCGTAGTGCAAATTATAGTAACACCTGCTGGGCCGTTTTCGTTTAAACGGTCAAACCGATCGGACCACTGTTGTTCGTTTATTAAATAAGGTCGGACCTAGTAATCTGATGCTGCTTTCAGGCGAGTCTTGAGAAAGCCTTGCAAGGCATGCATACACATTTGCAGGTCCGCCAGGATTTACACCCGAAATTGTTACATTTATAAACGGTCAAACCGGTTG